ATACTAGTAATTTTAATTACACGTATTATAAGTTATAGCTATTATATATATAAATAAGTAATTAAATACTTAAATAATTTAATTATATAGCGTAGGCTTATATAAGATTAATTAAATAACTTAATTAAACATTAATAAAAGACCTTATAAACTTAATTATAAAGGTAAAACTTATTAAATTAAAGACTTAAGCGTATAATTATCTTCTTATACTAATAATATAGCTATAATTAAATAGTTTATTTGATTTCTCTTAACTTGTAAGTACAAATACCGCTATATAATACCTGTAATTTTAAGGGTATCTTCTTTAATTGTGTGGCCGTAACGTTCTTTATAAAGAGCTATTATATAATTAGCTTTAGCCTTAACTTTAATAATATTAGAAATAATAATAAAGGCTTAATTAAGGTCTTTTTTAATATTTTTAAGAGCCTTTTAATTAATAGGCTTTAAAGTATTAAATTTAACTTTAAGATATTTATTTTTAATAAATAAGATTATAGAACTTATAGCGCTTATATATTTAAGAATTAAAGCTTATTTATAAGAAGACTTTATTATTCTTATTAAATATCTAATAAAGCTAGTTTAATAATCTTATTAACCTTAAAATCCCCTTTTATAATATTAAAATAAGATTACTTTTAATAACCTTATTAGCCTTAAAATTCCCTTTTATAATATTAGTTTTATTAAAGTTATAAATTTAAGTTAACTTAATTAATTAAACCTTAATTAAATAATTAAAAAGATTATAAAAAGCTTATATTTAATCTTTTATTATATTAAGAGTTCTTTTAAACTTAATATCTTATAATACCTTAATTTTAACCTTTAACTTATATTAAAGAAAGCGGTTAACTTAATACTTTTTAATTAATATCTTTATAATAATTATTAAGAGTTTACTTTAATCTCTTAAATTAATTAATAATTATAAAGTTAATTATAAAGAGTTATTTAAGAAAAGCTATAATCTTAGGCTACTTAAACCTTTAAAAGACTAGAATTAATATCTTTAATAATAGCTTTAATTCTATTCTTATAAGTAATATTAATAAAGTTTATAATATAAGTTTAAGGTTAAAAGAGCTTAATTTAATAAAGTTATTAAATGTTAAAAAAAGAGCTCTTATATTAATCGCGTTATTAAAAATGTAACGAAAATAGGGGGCTAATAATATTATAAAGTAGCACGTTAAATCCCTACCAGAGCATTAACTATAGTATAGTTTTATAGTTTTATAGTTTTTATATTTCAAATATAAAAAATTATATTAAATCTA